AGGCTGCTTTAACCTCACACTTGGTCATATTAACCTTTACAGTAGGCAATTTCAGCATTGTAGACCAGGAACTGTTACAACACTTAGGATGTTAAGCATGTGTCACCAGATACAGCCTTCTGTTTCCAAACATCCAGTAAAGCAACCACCTGCACTCTTCTACAAGTGCTGCAAACTTAAAATAAGAACTTGTCCTGTTAGCAGATGTGCCCAAGCAGAAAATACTGAGTGCTATGAACTAAGAAAAAAATACTCTTGAAAAATAGCTTCTATCAATTTGCAGTACAGTTGAACACAGTACCTGCACTTTCTTAGATCAATGTGAAAGTAGACTGTATGCAGACACAGACCAACCAGTTAGTGTTAGAAAGCAGAGCCACAGATATTCTGCAGAAATTAAAGAAGTTTAGAATCTATTTCCTGCTAAGTCAGTAGAAAGCTAACAGCACACTCACCTATGCTAGAATACAAATGGTCCATATTCAGAACTAAAGCAACTGCCTATGTAATATCCTTGTTTTAGAGAGCTTCAGTGCAACTGCTTTGGCTCACTATTTGGCTTCTGAGGCATCTGCAAGGGACTGCCTGACAAGCTCTCCAGTGTATTTCAGGATGATTGACAGGACATAGTGGCTGCTGGAAGGGTGGCAGGGGGATGGGCATCCTTAAAGCTACATACAAGTGCACAACTACAGAGATATATAGATACATTAAAAAAAATAAAAGATTAAAAGACTTCTATTAAAATTAATTTTCAACAATTAAATGACACGAAATATGCCATTATTCATATTTCTAGTGCTTATTTCTTGTAAATAAATAATTTCTTCTTCTTTCAAGCAAGGCTATTGTTTTCCCATGCATTCTGGTCATATGCCAGATTCCATCTCAAGGCAATGACTCAGACCAGCTTCTGAACTGGACAGCAAAAGGATTCATAAGGCTCTAACCCAATCATTTGGCACCAAATTTGTTTTCTTTCTGCTGTATGTTGTTTCTCACTGGCATACAGTGTATTATCCTATTAATTTCATTAAATGCAAAGGCCCATTGCCTTCTGAAAAATAAAGGAGAAAAAAAAGGAAGACAAGAAAATATATTAAAACAAAGCAGGATGGATGACTATTTGTAAAAAAGATACACATGCACAGAACACCTGAGATTACTAAGACACGATGCATTGCTGAGAGTGTGTAATAGAATGTTTTATTATTTGATCTTAAATTGTCATTTATTATATAATTATTTAATAGCTCTATCAGCTAGCACCAGCACCATTTCAGAAATTAAACTTGTTAGCTTTCTTTTGCTGGTGAGTCAGTACAATGAGAGTAAATCAGATTTTATAAAAGCAACAAAAACAGTAATTGTATTTTTTCTAAATCCTTTAGATGATACTTGAAAAAATAATTTCCAGAATGGGGAAGAAAATCTCTTGAGATGTACTAGTTGGGTTTGCAACATAGCAGCATGAACTTCTGTGGGCCAGGCCACAGACTGGAATGGAGCAATAGATAGGAAGAATAGCATTCATTCAGCACTGGAGAAAATCCATAAGACGTGGCAAACTGGATTCCTATTCAAAGCTGCCAGATTATATCTTAACTACCTCAGATTTTTTCATTTCTTATCATTAGCAAGAGGAAACATCTGCTAATACAAAGGCAGTTGAAAAGAAAGAATAGCCAGAGAACTGGAAGGTAGCAAGATTCAGAGTTATTAATTATATTTATTCACTGCGGGCTACTACCAGTCTTAGCATGTAGATACAAATTTACAGTGAAGTAATCAAAAGATACCTTTAGTGCTGAGAAAGAAAAAAAAACAAAACAAAAAAATACTGGGTTTACATAGTCCAGACTACATTCTCTTTAATACACTGGTCACCTTGTAACACATCTGAAAAACAACCTAAATTTCTAGGGAAACAAGATTTCTGCCAAATTCAACATAGCTCTCAGTGTAATTAAGTAGAGTGGCATACATCATCCCTTTAAAAATGAATCTACCAAGGAAAAGAAAACAGTATTAGCCTAGTCCTTACTGCGAACAGGAGAATCCACATGGTGAGGAATAGGTTATGATCTAATTGCATGAAAGGCTTTACTTAATGTTTATAGAAGAAAAATGTTTGAGATGAGGAACTCATTATACTTCAGTTGGTGAACATCTTTCAAAATGTCTGATGTCTAGTGAGACATCAAATGATGAATTTTCTCTAGATTATAACATTCTCAATGCATTCTTTTCCTTACTAAAAAGTTGTGTCTACTTCTCTCATAGTGCATTTCATCAAATCTCTTTTTAATATAGAGATTATCTTTCAATTCCACACAAGGAAACAGAATCTGAGATAAATTACTTGCTCACAATCACACAGAATGACAGTGGAAGAACCAGGACAGAATCTGGTGATACAACTGTCCACCTAACTGGAGAACCTTACTCCTACAAACTGCAGCCAATAAACAGGCTGAGAAGAGTAAATCATTTCTGAACACGTAACATAAATCTAGAGAATATAATCTCTTCTTCCATATTCAGGTCAAAGTTACTCAGATATTATTATTTCGTATTCTTAGTAACATCAGCTAACACATTCTTCTCCCTTAAATATACTATCAAAATCACTGCCTTGGTTGCATGCACTCTTTCACAGTCAGTTGCAACGCAGTGACGAGTTCTAGGAGACATTCCAGCAGAGGTGTGAATCCTATAGTCTGATCAGCTGCACAGCAGATGGCTTTGCACTAGCATGCCAGACTCTGCTCTTCAACCAGCAACAATTCACAAATGTGTGCTTTAGTCCTGAGTCTACAGCCATGACAAGGAAATCCTCCTCCACAGAAGTATTGCTGAAGAAACTTAGAGACCTGACGATGATCATACTATATTAGCAGTAAACTAAATAGAAGTGACAACAGAACCAAAATAATCCTACTTAGCTTAGAAATATTTTAACAGCCCTATCTTCCTAACACTTCTTCCAAGGTACTTTTTTCCAAGAACTGAAGTTTTTTGTCTGAGAACTACAGTGCTAATATTTAAGATTTTTTAAAAAATTATTTATTTCAGAAAGAAAAACAAAAAGGAAGCAACAAAAAAGTGCAACAGAGGCAGCATTTCCTTCAAAAAGAGAAGGTTTTCATTATGCTCTTCAGACCCTCTCCAAATTCTTTTCTAAAAACTTTTAAAAAGTCTTTTGACATGAGCCCCTGTTCTATTTTCACTGCGTGCATTTTGAGCACTGCACAAGCACCCTTTCTCGTTTAAGTGGCACACACTTGGTACTTGGATGACTATCTTGTGCTGGCAACCATAGTTTTAAAAGGTTTGGCTCCAAGCTCTCCTCTTTGTTATCTCTTTTAAAGTGTTCCTATCTCTATTCAGAACCAGAGACTCTGTTTAAATAAAGTTCAAGTTGACCTTTCACTAAAAATAGAATATTGTTCAGTTCTTGTGTGGGAGAAAAAATTTAAAAAAATTACCAAGCATTTACCATTTTTGTTATTTGACAGTTATATACTGTTATATATATATATATATATATGACAGTTATATACTGTAACATCTACAATGTTTTGCTTAACAGATACCTATGTCTTACTCATTTGCAATGGTTTAAAATGCTTTTCTCTTGGTGTAATTGTTCTCCACTGCTGTCTAATACCTGAACAAACCAACTCCAAAATTAATGCTAGCACATGTAATCACTGTTTTTTAAGAATGTATTAATTTATATATATGTGAAAAACAGAATCTGTTTGCAGAAAGCACACCATGTGGGACATCCGCAAGCAGCACATCAGCTAGCATCTACAACAAGGACAGAGTGTTTAATCAAAACTGTAATCTGACCACACCTGCCTGCAGGAATGTACAGACCTCAGACTCTATCCTAGTAACTCTTATACATAGTAACTCTTCAAGGAGGCTCCTGGCACCGCATGGCACCTTACTGACTCAACCAGCTTCAACATAAAATCCAGCTCAGAAGAGAAACACTATCTAATAGATTCACCATTTCTTCTAAAACAGTCCCAGAAATAACAGCTAAAGATTATTTTGTCCCTTTGAATGCAAAAGAAGTTGAGGATGCTCCATCTCTGGAGCTTCAAGGCCAGGCTGGATGGAGCCCTGGGCACCATAGTCTAGTTTGTGGCAGCCCTGCTCACAGCAGAGGGGTTGGAACAAAATGATCTTTGAGGTTTCCTCCAACCCAATCCATTATATGATTCTACAGTTTGACCTGCATCCTCATTCTACTACAAAAGACTTCGGCTAATGAATAATTCTACAAAACATTTCTTTGTTCCAAGGCAAATTATTTTCCTACTATTGACCAATCAATAAGGAACAGGAGAAAACAGCAACAATTCATTATGTATTTTTTTTTTCTAAATGCCTGACACCAGGCCTAATTCTTTCTGTTGCAAGTATTTTTGGCTTCACTGGCTCTGAACATACCTCACATTTTAATAAGAGGAGCCCAAATGTATTCTACATAGAGAAAAAATGTCCTAACACATAAAGTTTTTGAAATATGCAAACCACTATATTGAATGTAACAGCCCTACTTAGAAATAAGTGCCTTCTTAACTTAATATCAAATAACTGTATACAATTGTCTTTTACAGTATTTTTAATACCAAGGTTATAAATGTACATTTACATAAGCCTTCCTAGCATTGGAAGCAATATCCAGTGAAGTACAAAGAGGTAAATAAAACTTAAGAACACAATTCATTTAACAACTCACTCTTCCTTTAACAATACTCTGATTTTTTTCATAAATAGAACACACAAAAACATTGCACACCTTTGGCTACTTACTCCAAGTGACATGATCAAGGTGATTTTGAATATTCGGAGTATTAAAAAATATCATGCTTTAACGTTCCTTCTCTAGAAAGTGAATTATTTAAGTAACTATAGTTCAATTCACAGCTTCACGTTCTTTTACTACATGGAAAATTCCCTTCATTTCTCTTCAGTCTTACCTTCCAAATGAAGAATCTAACAAAAGATCCTTGAAAAAGCTTTGTGAAGAATTCCTCTTAATGCTGCTTGATTCTAGAGGCACCGATGGCAGGCGAGCAAATGACTGCCCATTCTTCCTTGCCTACAAGAAATAAAAAAGGAGTGGAAAATAGTCAAAATGGGGAGGGGAGTACCCATTTAGGACCTCCTCCTACTCTGTAAGTTTCCTGACTTTACTGACAATTTGTTGCTGTACATAGTGATTTAAAAAAGCCCAAGCTCACTCTTAATCTTGAAAACAGTTTGTCACTAAGCTTTCAGACCCTCAATCAAATGCTATTGAAGTCAGCTGCAAAACCCCCTCTGAAATCGATGATTTTTATATTGAAGGTGAGAGGGCAAAGTGGAACAAGGAAAGCAAAATCCGTTGCTGTAAAATCTAGATCAAATACTGTTGCAACATATGTATTACAGCATTTCATACAAACTATAGTGTACGCAACAATCTTAATTTACATTTATGTCACAAAATACTCAGAAGTTATTTCCAGATCAATAATCCCATGTTTATAGTATTTTTCACTAAGGTACCCGTTTCAGTTATTCAGTGAAGTTTTGCTAAGCAGAAATCATAGCAGCTTTGAGTACCTTGACACATAGTGTACACAGAGTGCATGTTAAAAAAAAAAAAAAAAAAGAAGGAAATTTTGAAAGGGCAGAAGCTGTTCAATACTTCTCTTTATTCTGCTAGTCATTACCTAGTCTGCTGCTTAAGACTTTAACCATTTTAAATCCTGCAGTCTGAAGATCTGTATATGAGGTCTATTTGTCAGGCTGAATTTTCTTTTTGGAAAATTTCAACCAAAGATGTTTAGCTATTTTTAGTTGGTTCAGAGGTGAAAAGGGCACAGACAGCCTGAAGGCTGGGATTATCTGACACGAGCTGAAGAGCATTGGAGAGGCTCAACTGGATGAAAATAGAGAGACCAAGGGAATGAGTAGGTATTCTGACTAATCACAGGTAAGCAAAAGCAAGATTTGGAGAGACATTAAGAGACTGAACTAAGACAGTTGCAGGAAACAAAGCAAAAATCTGTCCCATTTCAGCCCTATCATCCAATGGCTGACTGACTTCAGTTGCACCTTTTGCATTTAAAGCTGCATAGAAGATTTGAAAGTTAGGCAAAATATTATACTATATAGAGATCATTTTATGGGCCATTTTTTCCCATGCAACAGCATCAGTTATTCACAGAAACCAAGGAAAAGTTTCTAGATGATGATTTACTACAGGGAAATGCACCTGGAGATGTTACATTAAATTTACTACTTCATTTATAATTCATTCTTCTCAGAATTTCAAGATTTAAATTTGAAAGACAAGCTTTTCTTTACTCACCTCCAACTCATGAATTTAGAAGGCATGAACAGCCACAGAAAAGAGCAGCTAGACTAAAGTAAAGATTCAGCTTCCTGAGCACTATATTGAAATTAAGATGTAATCCAAGCCTTAATACTACTAACTGCTCCTAATCAAGAAGTTCTCAGTGTTTCTAAGCTCTCCTATTTAATTTGCTATTTGAAAGTTCAGAACAATAAAGGAAATCACTTAACTACAAGATTCAAGAAAAAACAAGTGAAATTAATTTAGATGTTCGCTACTCCATTTTTAAAATTCATTAGATCTTTCTAATCACATCAGTGCTTTTTTTTTCAGAAGTAAACTGGTGAAAGCAGAGCCTCCAAATTCTAATAGATATAGTACATTGTAAAAAATAGCAGTTTTACTTCATGTCCTTTGTTCTGTCATTTCCAACAGATAATGTAGAATAGGAATCAGATGTCTACATTAAACACCTACTGCCATTTTAAATACTATGCAGTATTCATCATACAAGCCTCCACGATGCCGCAAGCCTCCCACAGGAGGTGGATGTGGAGATGCTATAAGAGACCAAAAGCATCTAAAATGGTCATAGACACACATGCTTGTGCCCTTTCATCATTCCCAAGTTGTCTTTATCTTAACAAACACTCCCAGCAGGTTGCCAGTGTAAAGCTTTTGCACCGGATCAGGCATACCCAACCGATGCTGCAGCCTACCCCTAGCCCTGCACCATCATGGAGGTGGCTCTTCACCACCAAGCAGCCCCATCCAGCCGCAGGTGTACACCCATCGCTCAGCAACAACCAAACATCAGTGCACAATTGGCACTGTCTGGGCTGAAACCAGCATGTAGGGAAGACACAGCACAGTCTGAACTCAAGTCATGGTGAATAATTTTATGCATTTTGATATATTGGCTAAACACAGTTTTGTAGACAGCAAAGCATTTGCAGCCTTGCTTTCCTTTTTTATTCGAGAACAAAGTTCAAGATTGCCAAAAAAACACATCAATTTTTTTGTAAATTTCCAATTCTATTTTCAGTTGACATAAATAACTCACCTGTGAATTTTCAAGCTAAATGCACAGAGTTGCAATCAGATATTCACCTTAAAGAAAAAGTGATCATGTCTCTTCACCAGACTTTTATAAGACCTCTTTTAATAGAGACATCACTTCACAATCATTCCTTAGTCATATCATTGCATTTTGGCAGTATGTAAATTTCTGAACAACTATTTTCAGAAAAGTAAAATTTCACCAAAAATCTCTGACAAACGCCTTGAGAATTTACTAAGAACAGCAGCTGCGTTCATTGAAACAGACTGATGCATTAGTTTCACACAAAAAAAAGTCAAAAATCCCCATAGTTTTATGTATTTTGGGCCCTTTTTTGTTTTAATAAAAATATTAAATATTAAAATAAGGTTTGTTTACCCACATGTATTAACTACATTATATATTTTATGATATAATGATAGTAATGCCTCTTGTTTTATGTTAGCGCATGGCATCAGAAGCGGATATTAGCAGTATGGCAGTAGAAGTTGAACCTTTCCACCAACATTCCATTTTATTGCCACATGACAGATGGCAGCAGAGGGGCAGTCTGACAGAATGGCACCTGACATGGGAGTACATATAAAACAAAAGTGTCTCATTGAATTCCTGCATGCAGAAAAAATGGCAACCACAGACATTCGCCAGCACTCACTGAATATTCACAGAGACCAAACAGTGGATGTCGGTGAGTGGGGCGTTACAGCAGTGTCAACAGCAGGTCACCTCCATTGGTACAGATTTTGACTAGTGCAGAATGCAGGCTCTTATTCATCACTGGTGAAAATGCACAGCTAATGGTGGTGACTACCTCGAAGAATAGTGTTCTGTAGCTGAGAATTTGCTCCATCAAATAGAGTTACTGTGCTCATTGTTGCAGTTTCCATGGAAATAAATAGGAGGCATTACATTCAGTGCAACCTAGGAAATATAGCCCAATTCCTCTTCACCCAATGCAGCCCAGGCAAGCCAAAATTTGGTCATCTACACACTGAGCAATATCAAAATGTTTAACCCAAGAGAAAATAGCCAACAGTAAACACAAACAGAATCAGACCCCCAACCCTTCTTGCCCACTAGGTCTGCCTACAATTTGTCATGGTCAGGTAACTTCAGAGATGCAGTCCAAATCAGCAGATTTTTGCAGAGTTTATCAGTGCTGAGCCAATAAAAATAAGCATCTAGTTACAGATGGTTCGGAAAGCACTTTCAAATTTTGCTGTAGCAGCTGCTGCTGAAAGTTGAGAAGACTGTTTGCATTAATATACCGGAAAAGGGACAGAAGTGATGGAACACGTTTCTCAAGAGGGTGGATCAACAAGGCAAAGAAGGCACTAAAGTTATCTTTCAGTTACCTCCACATTAACAAAAATGTTTGCTTACTCATATGTTTATATCATTCTTTCTTTTTAAAATCCCAGAACAGCTCTGAGGCAAAGCAGCCAGACCCTTAACACCAAGAAACCTGGAAGCGTTCAGCCTGGAGAAGAGAAGGCTAAGAGTGGACCTCATAACTGCTTCCAAACACGAGAAGTGCAATTGTCAAGTTGATTGGGGTGGACTCTTTTCAGTGGCATACAGCAACAGAATGAGTGGCAACACGCAGAAATTAGAACACAGAAGTTCCATTCTAACACAAGGAAGAACTTCACTGTCAATAGTGACAGCGCACTATCACAGGTGCCAAGGGACACTGTAGAACCTCCTTTTCCAGGGATACTCAAGATTCACCCGGACACCTTCCAGAGTGACCTGCTGTAGGGAACCTGCTTTTGCTAGGGGTTGTATGAGATAATCTCCAGAGGTCCCTGCCAACCCTGCAGGTCTGCAGTTCAGTACACCAGTCTGTTACTGGTTGTATCTAGAAACACCCCCTACAGCTACATTCCCTCTTCAGTAAGAGGTAGCATTCATGTATGTCACATCTTTAACCCTGAGAACATCCCAGCTTCCATATCAAAGTGACTGTCTTAGCCAACAGCCTAAGGTGCACTCACCTACACCCCTATTTCCACCTCACACATCCTACTCTCTGCCTCACCCTCCCCTACAGAAGGATGGAGGTGTTCCCGCTCCACTGCTTGACAAAACACATTCAGATAGAGGTCAGGCAGGGCAAATCTGTGATACACGTTGCTCCTTTCTGCACTCCTGCTCCTCAGCCCTCTCTGGCCCCAGTTCGCACCCACACAACGAGAGCACAGTTCTCTGTAATAACTGACGGGAGAAACAAAAGGAGGTGGCTGCGCCGTCTCCCAGTGAGGAATTCCAACGGCCCCGCACGCGCCACCTCACCTAACGGCCCGCACGCGCGAGGAGCCGCCCCCCCCTCCTCCCCTCCGAATCCCCGCAGGCGCTGCGGGCTGTGAGGAAACCCCTTTCCTCTGCTCAGACAGTGCTCTGACAAGTAATTTATTGAGGGAGCATCAGTCTTTTAGCTCACCCAATGCTCACCAAACTGCTGTTTCGTTAAAAACAAACAAACACTTATTTCAAGCCCTGTGACAAACAGCTTGCAGTTTGTTTGCAAACAGTGCTTGCTGAGAAAGCCACGGACCACTGTGATGCTTCCACTGCCAGCGAGTGGAAAATGAAGTACATAAAATTTCCCTGCGCAGATGCTGCTATTGGCAAATCTTCCTGATAGCGTCTCTTCCTAAAAGTAGCTGTGAGAACTGAATGTGCAAATTTGCATTAAGCCTATCTGTGGGGTTTTACTTCAGTCAAGTGTTCTATCAACATACATGCATTGCTCCTGACGTACACGGTTTGTCAGGTGGCAGGGTTTTCAGTTGTCACGAATCTTCTCTTTGGTTCACAAGGCAAAGTTCAGTTTTTAAACTGTGCATATTCTTCTGTAGAACAAAATAGAATATTCTGAAATTCTGGATAGAATTTCTGTGAGAGCCAGACCTCACCAGACCTAGCACCTCTGGGGAAGCACACTGAACCTTTAATAAATCTAACCTCAAATCATGGAACAAGGTGTCCATGCCTGCACTGGGGGGGCACAATCCCTAGTGCATCCCAAGCACGATCCCTGGTTACCAAGCTGAGCAGCCATGCTGACTCAGATTTTCACACATCTCGCAGATGTGGGCTTCATTCCTACAGAAGCCAAATAAAAACTGTGTAACAGGAGAAGGCTGAGTCCAGCCCCAACATTACAGCATAGGCAGGATGAGTGACCAGACTCAGGATCTTAGTCTTATCCTGGATCCACCATTGTATGTACAACCACGTTTCCTTAAAAAATGTAGACTATCCTAGACAAAAAAAAAAAAAAAAAAAAAAAAAAAGCTCACTTTTAAAATAAAATTCCTTAGCAGCATTTCACACAACTGCAGCAACTTCTATTATTAAGTCATTTAAACCACTTCAAAAATTACTCAAAGTATTGTTTTCCTTTAAGCACATATCCCTTCACAAACAGCACATCTCAGTATTCCAACAGTCCATGTGCCCTCAGCTATACCTGTAAGTAAATTCAGTAATTAATCTTTTCTTTCTAAGTTCAGTTGCTTTACTAATTTATTTACTTCTAATGGAAGTTCTGAGCATATTCAATATATTTCAGATTTGTACATTCTTATTTAATCAGACTTATGAGAACTGCAATTCAATCCATAAGCTACGATTTTAGACAATCAGTAGATAATATTATTTAAAAATAGCCTGCATACAAGGCAGTAATCAGTAGTACCATGAAGCTGTGCAGTGTAAAATTAGCAGGGCAGAAGCTTACGTGACAAAATTAACCATATACCTATGAGCTGTACGAATGAAATGGCAGCACGTGCAGTTCCTAAATCAATTTTAGGTCTTCTGGGAATCTGCACACAGAGAAGACACAAATCTCTAGATTTCCACTGCCTGAGATTTAATTCTTCAAGTTATCTTTTGAAATTTTCACCATGAATATTTTTCTTGAGCAGAAAAATGTAGCTTATGAAGGTGATAGAAACCAAAGACTAAAAAGAACAGAACGTTCACAGAGATCATGTGGGCCTCAAAGAGTTCAACAAAAGCACCTTGTCACTGTTTCTCCACTTGTAAAGCAACAGATAGAAAACATCAAAATGCAGACCTATAAAAATCAAGCTTTTAACCCTACCTTCTCATTTAGTGTTCCACAGATATCAGCAGACAAGCAGAATGCTAACAGTAGATATGTAATTAGCAGATCTTTTAGGTAGTGATAAATATGTAGAAGCTTAGTTTGAAAGAAAAAGACTACTGAGCAAAAATACTCATGGTAAATTGACTTTAACAGGTGATCAAAGTTGCATCCATTCTATCTGATACAGATATTTTGCTTTACTACTTTCAACATCTTCTTCTGTAATGACTCAAGGTCCACAAAGTATTTGATTTTACATGTGTAAATAATTGCAATGGTTTATTGCTGTGATCTATCACTGAGGCTTAATAGGAGTTAGAGTAGTCACGTGCACTGGATAATTGCAACCTGTCAATGTTACAGATAAATTTTATGTTAAAATATAAATTTGTATTTCAGATGGGAGGTTTTCAGGTGAAGGGATTTTTGTTCTTAATTGCTCACTATCAGCTCATTTAAACTCTCTTCTAAAGTATCTAGAAATATGGAGGTTCTAGCAAAAATCAGGATATTGCCTTAGACACACTTACAAGTTTTGCCCAGCATCACATTTCTTCTGTTTATGTACTGAGAATGAGAAAAGTAGCCTGTAAAATTCGACAAAATCATTGTTTTTCATTTCAACAATTAAACAGACAGTATATATTCACAGAAAAAAAAAAAAATCTATCAGACTGGTGGAATTACAAATATCAATCTCATATTTTAAGGTTTGAATCATACAAAAATCTGAAGTAAATCAGGGTCTCCTTACATCCATAGGGATCTTTACAGAGAACTGGGACAAAAGTCAAGCAATATAGAGTCAGTGACAGAAGCATATTTTTTTTTCATATAGATGGTAAACATATTATTCTTGATCTGCATGGACAGTGTGGCAGATGTATTGTGAAAGCCAGTTGTAATTAACAGTTCTATCATGAGGGGGTTTTTTGGTGCATAAAGTAGCAGTTTCACATGACATTTAGCATACTCAGGTCTCGTAAACATATCCACTGGCATACAGTATTAGAGATATTTTCATATCCACATAAATTGTTTCCATTTAAATAAAAAATAATTAAAATTTATAGAACAGCTGCAAAAAGAAGCATAGAATATGCTTTTCATATAAATAAATCTGAAAAAATGCATTAAGGAAAAAAGGCCCTGAGCCAGTAGTGTACTTCACACATTCCTGAATATAGTAGGATTGTTTAATTAAAGATATGAATGCAGATAAACATTTAACTGCGTTGTCACCAACAGTGATGTTCAGTGATACAACTTGAAAATCGTGTAACAACAAACTTGACATTTCATTAAAAATAGAACAAGAACTATTAACACCTTTCTAAAAAGGCTCCTGAGTGTACAATAAGATGTCTAAAATGAAAACCACATACAGTTTGTTAATGTTTCCAGAGGCAGATGAGTGCTTTTGTCCCTATTTCTGTAATATATGTGAGAGTCTGCTAAACAAGCAAGCTTATGATAGCAAAAAATTCCATGGAAGCTGCCCAGCAGCTATTACATGGCATTCAGTTTTGTCACTGACAAATTTGGAATGATGAAAAGTTCTATAAATCATAACTAGATCAGTGAGTTCCCTTTGTCATTCGGTTCTTGGTATCTGATAGTTGTAGTTCAGTCCCAGAACAAATTCCATATTCACAAAAATTACAGCCATCCATGGCAGAAAAAGAAAACAACACTGATTTCTTGATAACCTTGTAACCTTAGACAGTGCTAAATCTGGAAAGTATCTGATAACAAATAATGAAGAAAAACACAGCATGGGGTTCTGAACAACTAGGAATAGTAGAAAACACCCATGTCTTGAAAGAATAAATGTGACCCTTTTTTAAATACATTGTTCTAGAAATCATAGTGTGATGATATGCAGACTCCTTGAAAGTTGACAAGTCTATCAACTGCTTACTAGGAAGAAATCTCACAGAGTATGCAAAAGAAATTATACTAGGTTTGTATCTGATTCACAGGCGAAGTTAATTTGTTGTACTGGTCAGAATTACAAGTAATGAAAAGTAGTTTTCATTTTATTAAGCATTCATGTCTAACTTCCTTTACTGCAAGCAGCAACAACAACTTCAAAAAGGTGATAAATCACTCTACTGTAAATAATCTTAAATGATTTTAAGATTAATTTATAAAAAAAAAAAGAAATGAACTAGAAATAACACATATTTAATCCCTCAGTCATACACCATGAATATAATTATTGCGTTTAAGAGATGGATACAGAAAATGACCCTTAAAAATCTTTCAGTGATACTCGAGATGCCCTAAGAGTTCCTTAAGCTTAGGATACATCAAATACAGAATTTTTTAAATACAGAAGTATAGCATTAAAGCATCATTCTGTACATCACTGAAGTAGACTAATAGTGAGGGCAAGCAACAAAGCAAGAAGAAATTACTACTTACTGGAGCTTAAGAAACGATATCCTTTAAAGGCAGGCTGTGATATAATCTTATATCTTCCCCAGAATGAAAGCAACCTTTGATTCTGTAGCTGAAACTGATCCCCAGAACCAATACCATTCCTTAGCACAAAGAATGAGAAAACGTAGCTATAAGGGATTGTCTGAAGTAATTTATTTTTCGTGATCGTAAGGCTTAGGTATTCAGATTTGTTAAGCAATCTTCAGAGCTGATAGAAGGAACAAGTTTACAGAAGGGAAAATAAGTATGCAGCATTATTTGTTATTGTTAGTCATTAGCTTTTTCAGTAATAAAACATGAAATTTGAATTACTTTAGTGTTGCTAGTACTATCTGCAATCTGTGTTGGATTCATTAATTCGCATGTATTCTTTAAGGGGGATATAAAACGTACTCTTGAATATTTTAAGTTGCCCAGAAGTACTTGGTTACCATTCCACTGACATTGCTGTAAATGTTTCTTAACAGGCAGAATCTAATTTAATTTTTCTGTTGCAAAGATCAGATGCATATAATTAATAACGTCTAATAAAATAATTGCATTTGTAAAGTCACGCTTTTTAATATGAATAAATCCTGAAATTATTGCATTTGTAAGGCAAAAAAAGATTGATTAATTAAATATCAGGGCACAGAGCAAGAGAGTGAGAAGGGATAAAAGAAGTATAACCAAATGAAATCTGAGGTCCAAAAAAAAAAGGAAGAAAAGTGAAATGTTTAAGTG